CATCGGCCCATGGTGCTCACAGTCCCCCGTGGTACTTGCTGGACCAGACTGGGACTGACTGGACCTTACCGCTGACTGACTGTGGACTCACTGCTATCCTACCGAGATCGTACTGCGATTGCACTGCAGTTTAGTCCACCACTTGCCTCACCACTTTACCACTTGCCCACTTGCCGACCTTCTAGAAGGACTACAGCTAGACTTCTGGAACTCGCTAAGACTTCTACTCTATAGATCTACAGATCGAAACCCTGCCACCTACGGACCTATGACAGACCTACCCTGTCTACGAATACACAGGTCGCAGGTTCAACTCTCGGGTCTACACAGATACTGTACATGGGTAGGGTGAGGTCTAGGGATCGAACCCTGGGATCTGCGTCTGTTACTGCAAAAAGGTGAAAACCGTTTCACTCCTGCCGTCCTAAATTCGAGGTCCTCCGAGAATATTTCAGTCCAAGGCAGGACCTTTACCCTTCTTATCGCGCTCATAGGCTCTGACTATGTGTTACATGCTTAGATACGTGATGTACGTAATAACCGAGGATCTGCAATGTGATGAAAAGGACAGAATGGACAATGCGGTGCGAGTAGAATCTCGACAAACAATGTGCATTCTCATACATACAAAAGGTGCTGAATAGCGCAGGGAAGACTTAGATACAAAGACTGACCTGACCGGGACTGACCTCACTCACTTAGTACGAAGTAGCGAAGCAGAATGCTAGAATACTGATAACTAGTCCAATCAATGTTTGAACTCGGACCAAACATACATCGTAGCCATCACCAAGTGTGAAGGAGCCTGGCGCTGTACACAGGAAGAAAGCGCCAGGTCCAGACATACACAAACGAAGAGGAAGGGATCAGACGAAAGGAGGGAGAGAGATGGGAATGTCGTCAACACCAAGTCTTTGTCACCAATCCCAAATAATCCCTCGTTGCCGTGTCTGAAGTCCCAAAAGTCGAGTCTGGATCTGATGTCACCAAGCTCTGTCTCTCTTCTCTCGTAGTCTGCAGATGCAATGAAGTCAGATGTTGAGAGGGGGAGAAAGAGATGGTGGACTGAGAAGAGGAAGAAGAAGACCTCTCTCTCTCTCACTTTTACGAGCCAGATACTGACCTGTGATGTTGGCGCTATGCTGCAGGTACCTCGAAGACGAAGCTGGAGCAACGGCGCTGCAGGTAAGTACCTCTGGCCTCCGCCCAAGCTCTCTCTCTCTCTCTAGTACTATCTAGCTATGGCGCCCAGCGCTGGAGACTACAACTACCTATTGCGCCCAGCGCTGAAGACTACCAGCTAACGCTACTACTACTACTCTACAGCGCTCCCTCCAGAGTGCTGCTCCCGAATCCTAAAGACTACAACTGCCGACTGCCCCCTGGGAAGTGCCTGGGAAGTCCTATGTACTACCTCAGCCTGCCTCCTGACTGCTGAAGGGCGAGCCAGGCGGAGGAGGCAGCTCTTGCCAATGCCGAAGTGTGCCAGGGGCTGGCGTGCAGCAGCCTGCTGAGGCTGGCGTGGGGAATAGGCTAATAATAGCCTGTTCCGAAACCCTGGTTCGGTGCCTGAGTTTCAGGGCCGGTCGTTCTGATGAACGACCGAAAATGGCCTTTTGTTTCAGGCTAAAAAGGCTGCTGTCGTTTTTAGTCTGAAACGACATAGGGGCTGTGGCCCTGGAATTCAGGCTTTCGGCCTGATCCGACATGGGGCTTGTAAGCCCTGGATTTCACGCTTTCGGCCTGAAATTCAGGCTTTTGGCCTCAAGGACGTCGGGCCTGCAAAATGGCCCGCGTGTGCACGCGCAGCATGTAACCCCCCCCCCCGGGGCGAGGGCGAAGCCGACGATATGAAGGTGGAACCTGGACGCGGGCGCGGCGTGGAGCCGAAGAAACCGGCTTGCCTTGCATCTTGCGTTCGTAGCGTGCGAGAACGTTTGGAGCTGTTGCCTGAAGTTCCGCACGGGTTAACCAACGGTCAGCTCGGTGTGTGCAGTATGCAAAATGCACCAAATACTCAGTTGGCTTATTGTCGTAGCGTCGCTGGGAGATGATGTCGTCGACCTCCTGAAAACCGTCCATAGAAGGCGGGTCTTGCGTACGTCTCCCGGGAAAATCGTCATGTTCCGCTGGCATGTAGAGAGCCAATTTGGAGCAATGAAAGATTGGGTAGATGGGCAAGTGGCCAGGCAGCTGAATCGTGAAGGATGGTCCTTCAGGTGCGTCCCCAGCGGGTGCTACGATCGGCCAAGGCCCCATCCATTTCGGAAGGAGCTTGCGAGAGATGTCTTGTTCAAGGCTGAATTCCGCTGTGGAAACCCAGACGAGGTCCCCGGCGCGGAATGGACAAGGAAGACGCTGGCGATTGGCCTGCTGGCTCATGCGCTGCTGCGTCTTAGCCATCTGGTCGCGTGCCTTGACAAGAAGCTCTTGCATCCGACGCAAGAAAAGAAGATGGTTGTCGCTCTCGGCCGTGCGTGGAGTAATAGTGTCCAACGGTGACGTGACCGGCGAGCCGTGCTCGAACTCGAAGGGCGATATCCCAATAGCCGGGTGGATGGAAGAGTTGTAGGCCAACTCGACGTCCGGCAGTCGGTCAACCCAGTCTTTCTGGTCGGGGCGGATGAGAGTGCAAAGGAGAACCTGTGCGGTCTGATGCTCCCTCTCCGTCTGGCCATCAGTCTGAGGGTGGCGAGCTGAACGGGGCTTGAAAGATGAGCCTCATCACTTGATGAGTGCCAACCAAAAATCGGACATGAACCGAGTGTCGCGGTTGCAGACGATCTCGTTGGGGTAACCCTTGGTTCGAATCCAACCCGCGTAAAGAACCTCGGCCAACTCTGGTGCCTTGGCATGATAGCGACAAGGCAAAAACATGGCGAACTTGGTGAGTCGGTTGACCACCGTGAGAATCCCATCCACTCCAGTCTTGTGCTTGGGGAACGGGCTGGTAATGTCCATGGCAATTGCTTCCCTTCGCCTCAATGGGACTGGCAATGGTCATAACTCGCCGTACGGACGATGGTTGCGGAATGTGCAGCGTCAGCAAACCTCGCATGACTCGCAATAGCGCGTGACGTCGCCGAGAAGGCCGGGCCACCAAAATCGCTGGCGAAGTCGGCCAATCGTGCGATTGATTTGCTTTCTGCTATTGCACAACAAAAAACAATCACTGAACAAATCGATAGTCAACTGGCTAACTTTTGTCAAAAATTTACTCAGAGTTTCTTAGCAACTCACTCGGGTTAATTCACCATTTTTCTATATCTTTGTGACTGTTTTGGGTGGGGTAGCGTTGAAAAACAAACCCCACCAGGGGAAATGTCAAGTGGTTCAAGGCAGAATAGTTTAGTAGGTTAGAACAGCGGAATCATAATTCGCATGTCGGGGAAAGTGTCCGATGGCGGGAGCATCGTGGAACTCGCCAAGAAGCCGTGTACACAAGTGAGGATCACTCGGTATGCAAAGAAGGTCCTTTCCCCGCGTGTGGATAAGCAAGTATCCCTCTTGGATCCGGTAGTGAGAAGGAGCCGGATTAGGAGAGGAGCAATTTGCGTACTTGTCGCGAAACTCGGGGTCGGCTTGGTAGCCGCGGATGAAGCTGTTCCGCAGGTCGTCGTCGATCTCGAAGGTTGAGTAGACCGCGGTACAATGATCCGGACGTCGTGAAAGAGCATCCGCAAAAACGTTCGACTTCCCGGGAATGTGATCGGGAAAGAAGTCGAACTGGTCGATGAAAGCCATCCATCGAGCGATGGTGCTGTTGACGGTGTCTTGGGTCTTGTAGAAAACCAACGGATTGTTGTCCGTTACCCAGTGAAATTGGCTTCGACCAAGGAGGAAGTGCCACCACTGCTTGAGAGCGTGGACGAAGGCGAGGAGCTCCTTCTTGCGTGCATCGTCAATGGAATTCACGATGGGCACTTTCTTGCTGAAGTACTCGACCGGGTGCCAGTCCACACCATCATGTTGCTCGAGGACTGCACCAATGCCATAGCCTGACGCATCCGTAGTGACGAGCGTAGGCGAGAGCGGGTCGTATATCCGCAAGACCTCCGCAGACAATAGCGAGGCTTTGAGAGCGAAGAATGATCCCCGCGCCTCCTCTCAAAAGTCAAACGGTCGATCCTCGCATTGAAGCTTGTTCAAGTGGGCTGCGATCTTGGAGTAGCCTTTTATGAAGCGCTGATAGTAGCCAGTACTACCGAGGAACGAGCGGACATCCGTGACATTCCGAGGCTCCGCCCACTCCTGGACGGCCTGAATCTTGTCCAATAGCGGACCGATGCCCTCCGGTGTGACAAAATGGCCCAAGTATTCCAGCTCCTGCCGGACAAATTCACACTTGTCGCGGTTGGCCTTGTACTTGGCGCGGCAGAGCGTCTCCAACACTCGTCGAAGATGCCCAAGAAGATCCTCCAATGACCGGCTATAGATGAGAATATCGTCTAAGTAGACCAGCACGAACCGGTCCAACATTGCACGGAATTCATTGGTCATTGCCGCCTGGAACGTCGCCGGGGCGTTGATGAGGCCAAAAGGGCATGACCACCTACTCAAAATGCCCGTACAGCATCTTGAACGCGGTTTTGTAGCGATCGTTCGGCTGGATCGAGATTTGATGATATCACGATTTCAAATCCAACTTAGAAAAATATTTTGCGCCGCCCAATCGCTCAAGAAGATCGTCGATGCGAGGAAGAGGCGCCGCATTCTTGACGGTTTACGCGTTGAGCTTGCGGTAGTCGATACACAATCATAGATCCTTGTTCTTCTTCCTGACGAAGACAACTGGTGCTCCATATGGGAAGCTGCTAGGGCGAATCCAGCCCTTGGCCAGCAAATCATCGAGTTGTGCGCGGAGGACCTCAAGTTCCTCCTCGCTCATCCGATAAATGCAACCTTTCGGCGGCACGGCACCGGCCTCAAGAATGATCTCGTGAGAGATCGGCCGATCCGGCACCACACCGGTAGGTGACTCGAAGATGTCGGCGAACTCGTCCAGCAACCGCACCACACGGGGGTCCGAAGACAAGTCCGTGGGTGAAGAGTCGGTTACTGCGACGGTCCGTAGGAAACATAGGCCGATCTCCTCGGGCTGCTCGTAAGCGCAAGTCGGCCGGAATGATTTGGCCGTCACCACTTGGCACCGGATCGAAGTGTGCGGTAGAGGAATAGTACACGCCACTTCCGTGCCGAAGGCGTCGCGAACGCTAAGAGTCCGCCGATGGAAGTTGACCGTGTGATCCGCACTTGCAAGCCAAGGCATTCCCAGAATGATGTCAAAGTCCGTGTCGAGAATATCGAATGTCACCGGTTCGCATCCATGAGGTGCGAAATAGACCGGTACGGCCTCGATATAACGGTCGAGAAGTTGTTGCGTCTTTCCATTCGCCAACTTGATCACCGTCGGGTTTGCCTTCCTCCGAACTTGTGTGCCAAGGCCAGCCCTTTGCATAAAGGATTGGCTCATGAAATTGCGAGACGTGCCGCTATCCAGCAAAGCGCTGCAGGACGCTTGCCCAACCTGAATGCGGACATACATGAGCGGTGCGTTGTTGTCATTGTACCGCTGCGTGCGAAACTCGCGGGTCACCTCGGTAGTATATGCCAGGATGTCCCCCACCGCAACTTCGTTATCCGTCGGCGAAGTTGGTGGTGCATGGAAGGATAAGTAAGTGTGGAGATTAGCGCTAAGTGTTGCGCATTGCGAACCCGGCAAGCGGCCTGTGGTCGGGAGAGGAAGCCATGCAAAGTCCTCAGACGTGAGCGGGTCCAATGCCTCTATGTTGAACTCGCGTGCCGAATCCCGTGAAGAACCACTTGAAGACGATACGTCGCCGTTGCCGGACGGAGAAGAAACCGTACACACTCCTTGTCCTTGAGCTTGAGTACCAAGCGTAGGAACGAGCCATGCAACATAGTCCTCAAAAGAAAGTAGAAGAGGCGGACTATCGACTTTCGCGTGCACCTTGGAATGAAGGCCGGTTACTCGCGAAGAAACCGGTTCCGAAGGCGTCGAGAGTGTCGTCGAGTCACTCTCGGCGGTGCTCAGTTTACCTGTCTGTCCTTGCCTTTTAATGGGCAACCCTGCGTCTGATGAAGATCGCTGTTGCACCAAAGGCAATAGTGGAATCTCTCGCGCGCTTTGAATGCTGACTCAGAGATGCCATATTGGGACCATGGGCCTGTCGAAGCTGCTGCACCGGGCCCGGGGCTAGATGCGGTGTGTGTCTTCGTCTTGCCGCGTCCTCGGCCTCTGCAGGGGCGGCCACCTTCCCGGGCGGCTGCGAGTCTGTCCCCTTCACCGGCAGACACAGCCTCGCTGGTTTGGTCCAACGGCGCTGCCGCTGCAACCACAGCCACTCTTGGCCGATGTTGGTCCCTGCTCGGGCCTGCCGCAGATGAACGGAGGTTCTTGGCCTCCTTGTTCGTGATGATGATCTGCGCGGCCTTGTCAAACAACTCCGCCGTCGTCGTCAAGGTGTCCTCGACATGAGTCAGGGCATTGCTTAATGTCAGACATGACCTTGAGATGAAGTAATGGTGGATGGCTTTGAAGCCCATCTGGATGTTTGGGACTGACGTCAATCGTTGGTACTCGGCGATCCAGTCTGTACTCGGCAGCGTGCCTTGCTCGAAGACCATGAGCTTGTCCATGGCTTTGATCTCTGGCTGCTCCACCTGGAACCGCTTGTGCCACGCCGCCTTCAGATCATCCCAACTGATCTTGGTGTGCAAGTCGTTGGCTACCACTCCGTACTTGGACAACAGGTTGTCCAACCAAGCCTGACACGCGCCCCCTGAGCGAGAGTACAAGTATGCGTGGTGCTTGTGTTCCTTGACGTTGTGGAGCTGCAGCGTGAGCTCGAACTTGCGAAATCATGGAACCGGATCTGTCTTCATTGAGTCGCAGAAGATCTCCTGCCCATCGAACTTTGGAACTGTCGAGGTGTTGGCGGTAGTGCAATCCGCTGTTGCAACTGTTGTGTCGCGGTCTGCTGCAATTGCACGCCATCCTTGAGTGAGCCGACGTCTATCTCCAATGCGTTGAGGCGGTCGGAAGTGTTGGAAGAGCTTGCGTCGGCGGCGGCGACTGGTCGCTGCTCCAGCCGCTGAAGGCGGTCTTGGACGCGAGCTAGCGAGTTGTCGAGACCGTGGATCTCCTCCTGCTGTGTAATGCATGTTGCCAGGAGGTCTGTGAGATGCGAGAGGAGGAGCGCTATCTTGTTTGCGCTATCCTCCAACTGGCTATTCTCGGCCTCGTTCCGCCATTCCGCTGCCATTGTAAGTAACGCCTGCTCTCCGGTAAAGATCTTCTCTCGACGTTGGTGTCTCTCTTCATCGGCAGCCCTTGCTGCTGCCTCGTCATACTGGCGCTGTTGTTCAATCGCCAGCAGACGTGCCTGCTCGACATCCTCTGCCTTCTTTTTCGCTGCTGCAGCTGCGTCATCTGCCCGTTTCTTTGTCTCGATACTCCAAGCCAGCATCCGGGCCTGATAGGCCTCGTCTGCTTCACCGGGCCTCTGATCCATGACGGTTGTCTGTGACCGCAACAGCATGTACTAGGCCGGGGGCCTGCTGACGCGGCAACTCACCAATGCCGTAGCAGGGGTACCCGGAGTCAAGTAGAGAAGGTAAGGTGAGGGATGGCAACAACATAGGTGGGGAGGGGTGGATGGGATAATCGCCCAACTAATCACTTAGATAAGGAGCCACTAATCAAACAAGAAAAGTTTGAACTTTGCGAAAAAAAAATCGAGAAAAATAAAAATCCCGATTTTTGCAAGTTCGGTAGGTCTCCCAACCTCCCTTGAAGTGCGAAATGATCACTGAAGAGAAAAAGTTTTTTGACTTTATCTAAAACTCGCCTCAACATTCGAGGCTCATCCGAATCATTAATAGATGCCAACTGTTCAAATTTTTCGATAAAAATGAAGACAAAATTGCCATTGAAAAGAGGAACGTTTACCTTAGGTAAACTTTCCTTTTCCATGGTTCTCTATTCTATAAGTTGGGTTATTTCAGTCACACTTTTATCCCGAGGATGATTTTTATTCTCTTCTTTTTTCTTCTCCTCAGGCGGTTCCGGGTATTTGGCAATCATCAACTTTTCGAATTCGCTCCAGGTTCTAGAAGCCTGCAACAAATATCCGACCTCGACCTTCAATTCTTCAATCACAAATCTCAAAATGAAAAGGAATTTGTGATTTCTTCCCAAAGCATCAGTTGCGAGAGCCTAGAAGGCCTATAAGAATTTAACAACCCTGCTGCCTTTTCGCCAAGGACTCCTCCAGTCATTTTGTCGCCCTGCAAAAGGCATAAGCTCCATTGGCGATTGACCAATCTGGTTGATTAATTAACAACCATTGAAAGAATTTCAGATCTCAGCATTATGCCTAACCATCAAAATAACTTACTCGGGTGTCGTTCCATTGTAGACAACAATTCCACATACATGCAACAGACGTTTGATCTTCTATCTATGAGCCTTACAATTTAAATTACTTGTAAACTAAGGTCACAATACCAATTCTCACAACTAAAAGTCATTATCAAAACAACTTTAAAGTTACACTCCCTCTGCGAGTCCAAGATAAAAGCTAATACCAGATGTACCACAATATAGAGTACAAGAAAGCGTTACCCTTCTTCTCCCTATAAATGTCAGAGTTACTAACCTTTCTCTTAGCCAAGTAAAGAAAGTATAATTTTTACATCATCCATCCCCGAGTTCCATCAGGGACAATGGTAGTTTGCCGTTATCCTTGGCAATGGCGCCACCTGTCGAGCGCATCGGCCTCCGCCTTTTCTCCCGCAGAGGCGGGAACCGTCCTGGCCATGCCACGAAGGAGTTAAACAAAAACACAACATAAGAGACAACTTGGGAACGATGAGAAATAATCTCGTTAACCGTCGAGACGGGTGCGTGGTCACGTCGTTCCTTCGCCTCTCTAGCTGGGTGCGCCAGCTGTACATCCCGCGGTGTCCTACGATAGGATAGGTTCCCGCGGGGCAGACGCATACCAGACCGTCTATAAACATTTCTGTTTGGGGGACTCGACTCTGATCTAGCTGTGATCGTCGTCCTATTGCGACGTAAAATAATTCCTGATGTCACTTGGGGGCGGATGTTAAATTGCCTCTTCATCAGCCGGATCAACCGAGTGTAAGGCTCGTCGGCGTACGAGGATAAATAAGAGTGTTGTGGCTGCCTTGCTCGACGATAACCTGGGGCACAGGGGTGGGACCGGATTGCACACCTTTTAGACACGCTTGGCTTCTGATGCGTAGAAACGTGACACCGTGACATTGAGAAGAACAAAGGGAGGGGTAGGTTCCAGGTGATAAGTTCGGGCTTAAATTCCAAGCTGTGAACAGACCCGGTCAGTCAACATTATTTTTATTTTTGATTAGTTAGATGGACAGTCATGTGACATCTGACAGACAGCATTAGTTTAGAATATTATTTATTCCTGGTGCTTCCCCTCTGTTTGAGAACTAATCTTACTAAAAATAGTATTGACTGTAGGAATCAGACTTACCTGTTGACCCCACATGAGATCTGTTCCAAAATAGCCACCACTAATTAGTTGGTCTGTGCACTATGCTGCGGTAGGCATCTTGAATGATCTAGTGTAGACGGTGCACAGTGTTGTAGCCTATGAGCGACGAGGAGAACACCGGAGAGGATGACCGCAGGACTTTGCGATCAGCTAGAGGCCCAATAACTCACGTGTCCCTAGGACCGGAGGGTAATAGGGAACTCTTCCACCGATAGAGGGAGAGGCAGCAGCAGAGGAGAGCTAGAGCAGCCGAGGCCAGCAAGGCATTAGCTAGCGAGGCCGGTGCTACAGCAGCCATGACTACCACAGCCATGAGCACGTCTGCGCAGCAGACTTCCCAAGCCGATAGTTCAGGTACCGCCGGGTCCACGATCGCGCAGACCGTGAGTCAGTCCACTGGCTTCATGGCAAGCCAGCCCGCGGTGTTGACCCCAGAGGATGTCGCCATCCAGCAGGCAGCCCTGCAAGAGGCACAGCTACAGCAGGCATTAGGACAAATAAAAAGGGAGAAGGAGATGATGATTAGAAGAAGGACCAGGATGCAACAGAGAGGGGCAAACATAGAGGAGTTAGAGACGATGGACCTGACGAACATGGATGACGATGTGAGGGTAGTTAGGAGGGCCCTGCTAGGAGTAATAGAGATGCAGGAGCATCAAACTACCATCCTTCATGATATTCAGTAGAGCCTAGCCATTTTGGTAGGGCGTTGTCAGGGAGCACCATCACCGGCAGGGCCTGGTGCCTGCCCCGTGCCATATCCTCCTTTTTCTGTTCCACCGGTGACTGGGGTTTCCCCATATGTAGCCCCGTCATCGGTTGCTATCGTTTCCGTGGGCATGCCTCTGTCAGGAGGGGTAACAGCAGGGAGTAGTGTGCAGGTTCCTGTACAGACAGTGTTCACTCAGACTCCGTTGCATGTTGCAGTTACCACGCAGCCTGCTGTCTCGCAACCTGTGCAGCCACAGGGCACACAGCCCCAGCAGCTAGCGCAGCAACCTGTATCACCGGGTCCACAGCCCGGGGTGGTGCAGGGACCGGGACAAACTCAGTGGGTTCCAAAGACGGCCATCGCCGCTCCTAAACCTTTTACAGGGGACAAGAGAGGCGAAGACCGCGACACTTGGTTGAGGGCAGTGCCGGTCTACGTCAGGTGTAAACTCACCTTGCCGCACGAAGAAGTGCTTGTGGCTGCATCTTACCTAGAGGGTAGTGCAGCAAGATGGTAAAGTGGTTTAGTACAACTCCAGGAGCACGGTCATGACTTCCGCTCTTGGGCAGCCTCTCAAAAACTGGAGGACTTCCTGAAGATGGTGGAAGAGAGATGGCATGATCCTCAGGAGGCCCAAAAGGCCACTGACGCGATCCTAGCACTGCACACGCGGCAGTTTAAGTCAGTTAGGGAAGCCACTGACGTTGTTGAGCGTCTAATCTGTGTCCCAAGTGTGCGCTATGACCCCCAGGTCCTGTTGACTTCGTACTTGAGATGCTTATCCCAGCCTCTCAGGAACCAGTTGGCAAAAGAGGCCAACATCAATATGCACAACTTTCCTTCGTTCAGCAAGGTGGCCCTAGACCTAGAAGCAAAGATAGGGCATGGACAGACACCCACTATGGACGGGAGGAAGAAGACACTGCTTCCCAACTGGAAGGCGAAGGGTCGCATCATGTTTGTCGACAACGATGGTTCAACAATCGAGTTGGAGGGCAACTTCCAGGAGGGAGTTGGTGCAGAGGTAGGTGGCGATACTTCAGAGGGTGGAGTAGTCGCCGCCGTAACCCAACAAAAAGGTAAGGGGACCAGTAGACGCCGAGGGGGCTCCCGGTCTAGGAATCAAGTTGACCCCAATGCTCCTCCATGGGAGAAAGCGGGTCTTTCCGAGGACGTGTGGAGAGATCGGTGGAACCGACAGGCCTGCATTCGTTGTGGTCAATACGGCCATAACCAGCTCAAATGTAGGAACAAGAAGGTCACCGATAAGATCCCGCCTACTATGGGGCAGGCGGTAGGATCCTCATGTCTCGTAGGTAGCAATGTTGCCAATTCCTCAGGCACTGCTCCGGAAAACACGTCAGGCCAGTAGGAATAGTAGTTGTTCCTACTAGGGACGAGGTGGTGGAGACACCATCGCCATCTCGCATCATGGCCCAAGCTACTGATTCCCTTGTCGTCCCGCAAACGCATTCAGACCCATCGACCCTTTGCTCGATGAATGTGTTTGAGTCCTCAGAGGAGCTAGAGGAGGAGTGGTCTAGACTAGACCCGCTAGCTTCTTGGACGGCACTAGCTAAAGCCCCGAAGGGTGAGATGTTCGTCAGCGAGATAGTCGTAGGCGGCTGCAAGGCCGGGGCCTATTATGACACTTGCTCGACACGGAACTTTATAAGTCGCGAGTGCGTTGAGAGGCTGCGTTTACAGGGGCAAGTGCAGCGCCTGAGTCGACCTGTGGAGTCGACCTGTGCCAACAAACAGCACATGGTAGTTAATGACTACCTTCAGGATGTAGAATGCCTGTTCCCGTTCGCGGGAGGGGAGTTGAGGCATCGTGTCTCATTCCTAGTGAGCGACGATCTCCTAATGGATATCTTGTTAGGTATGTACTACCTTTCTGTGGCACAGCCCCAGTTTGACTGGGACCGAAAAGTGGTCAAACACACTTTGCCAGGTGGAGGGACCGCCAGACTACACAAGTTCAAAGCTAGTAGTCTGATCGATTCCCATGGATGCATGTGTGCGGCCGCGTTCTATAACTACTATAAGCAACATTAGGAGGGTATGTACTTAGTCTATGTCTCTGCTGCAGGCGAGCCGGTGAAAATGCCGCCGAGGATAGAGGGAGTAGTTGCCAAGTACCCTGATTTATTTGAAGAGCCAACATGGGTTGTTGATAGGGAGGTCGTCCACGCGATAGAGATTATCCCAGGGTCTAGTATTCCGAAGGGTATAATCTATCGGATGTCTTCAGGCGAGCTTGATGAGCTTCGCCGCCAACTCAAGGAACTCGTACAGAAGGGTTGGATCCGGCCGAGTGTCTCTCCTTACGGATCTCTAGTACTATTCGTACCTAAGAAGAAGGAGGGCACTCTCAGGATGTGCATTGATTATAGGGGTCTCAATGCCATCACTGTAAAGAACAGAGAGCCCCTACCGCGCATTGACGATCTGCTAGATAGAGTACAAGGGTGTTGGTACTTCAGTAAGATAGATCTGAAGTCCGGGTACCATCAGATTGCAATCCGGCACGAGGATCAACACAAAACCGCATTTCGGACCAGGTATGGTCTGTACGAGTTTGTGGTGATGCCTTTTGGCCTGTGCAATGCTCCTGGCACCTTTCAGCACGCTATGAATCGGATATTCCATGACTACTTAGATAAGTTTGTCATCGTGTACCTCGATGACATACTTATTTTTAGTAAGACTGTCGAGGAGCACGTTGCACACTTGGACAAAGTCCTTAGTCTCCTGCGACAGCACAAGTTCAAGATCAATGGTGAGAAGTGCGAGTTTGGGCGCACCTGTGTCTTGTACTTGGGTCATGAGATCTCCGCGGAAGGGTTGAAGCCCGATGACGCGAAGGTGGCCAGCATTCGTGATTGGCCACGACCTCAGTCTGTGACTGAGATGAGATCTTTCTTAGGAATGACAGGCTACTACCGGACTTTTGTAAAGAACTATAGCGTAGTGGCCGCTCCTTTGACCGATCTGACCCGCCTTGATACCCCCTGGGAGTGGACAGATGAGTGCGAGGCTGCTTTCAGACATCTGAAGCATGCACTAACGCATTATGAAGTCTTAAAACTTCCTGATCCTGATAAGCCGTTTATAGTAACCACGGATGCTAGCCAATATGGCATTGGCGCCGTGCTTGCGCAGCAGGAGGGGCCAAAGTTGAGGCATGTTGAGTACATGTCCAAGAAAATGCCGTCTCAGAAGTTGGCTAAGTCCACCTATGAGAAAGAACTCTATGCGGTGTTCAAGGCGCTGACCCATTGGAGACACTATCTCCTTGGGAGGTTCTTCATCCTCAGGACTGACCATCAGACCTTGAGATGGATGAGAACTCAGCCTGTACTCTCTGACGCATTGAAGCGTTGGATAAAGTCATTGAGCAGTATGACTTTGACCCTCAGTACATTAAGGGCGAGTACAACAAGGTTGCTGATGCCTTGTCGCGTAGACCTGACTTCTCAGGTGCGCTGATTATTGAGTACGATCTTACGAAAGATGTCACTCGATCCTTGGTGGAAGCCTATCGAGAGGACCAGTTTATCTCTGAGATCATACGCAGACTCGAGGCGAAGGATAAACAAACTTCAGCAGAGTTTGAGTTAGTCAATGGCTTGCTGTTTCTCGAGAAGGAAGGGAATAAACGTTTGTGTGTCCCTGATAAAGAGTCTTTGCGTAGTTTGTTTTTAGGCGAGCGTCATGACGCCACCGGCCATTTTGGGTACAAGAAGACCACAGCCAATTTGCTGCAAAGGTTCTGGTGGCCCACGATGTTAAAAGATGCTAAGCTGTACGTGGAAACTTGTCAAGTTTGCCAACGAGACAAGCCCCGTACTCAGGCTCCTCTTGGGCTGCTCAAGCCCAATCCGATTCCGGAAAGGCCGGGTGAAAGCTTGTCCATGGACTTCATGGATACACTGGTCACCAGCAAGAGTGGGATGAGGCAGATCTTCGTCATCGTGGATAGGTTTAGTAAGTATGCTAGGTTAATAGCCATGTCGGAAACAGCGAAGACCGAGTATGTAATCATGCTGTTCAAAGAGAACTGGGTGAGGGATTTTGGATTGCCTAAGTCTATTGTAAGTGACAGGGATGTCAGATTTACACGTGAGTTATGGAAGGCCGCTGCAACTGAACAGGGAACTCAACTGCAAATGACTTATGGAAACCATCCAGAAGCAAACGGCCAGGCTGAACAGATGAACCGCATTGTTCAACACCTATTGAGGCATTACGTTAAGCCCAATCAGGTGGATTGGGATGAGAAGCTTGCTCTTGTCGCCAGTCTGTACAATAACGTTGTACACAACACTACCGGGGTAAGTCCTAACAGTCTACATCTTACCTTTAGGCCTAGACTGCCTTTAGACTTCCTACTTCCTGATAACCAGCCAACTGTTGCACCGGGCACTTTGGAGTTCGCTTATCGTTACGAACAGAAAAAGCAAGAGGCTGTAGAGCACATGCAGAAGGCGCAGGCAGCAATGATAGAATCTGAGAACAAACACCGCCGCCCTTCTACATTTCAGGTTGGGGACAGAGTCTGGGTTAAGTCTTCAGAACTGGGACAGGAGTTCGGGATATCCCGCAAACTCATGCCTCAGTACTTTGGACCTTGGGAAGTTTTAGACGTAGTTGGGACAGATCCTGATGGTCCATCTTATGTCATCCGTATCCCTGGTCATCTCAGAACTTACCCAGTCTTTCACGCCTCTAAGCTCGTTGTGTTCAAGGAAACTGATCAGTTTCCCTCTCGTCGATCAATGCTGCCCCCAACCATGGACGGAGAAGTCGACATCGATGATATCGTCGACCACAGGGAGATGCCTGTTCAAAAGCCTCCGGGAAGGGGACGTCCTCCAAAGCCAAAGCTGCAGTTTCGTGCCCACTTCAGACATCACACAGATCCGAAGGAGGACCGCTGGTTTACTCGGGAGGAATTGATGCAGACCGCTCCTCAAATCGTTGCCCGCTATGAGAAGGATGTATTGAAAGGAAAGCGCCAGATGGCTCAGGATTGATCTTCTCAGAGGACTAACGAAGATATGGAGGAGGGAATGCGAGGCTACGTCCGCTCAGCCCCTTCGGGGCCCTTTTTGCAGCATGTCGGCCGCCCTAAGTGAAGGCAGGCGCGATAGGCCCTCAGGGCCTCAATTTTCAGGGTACCCCGCAACTGGTGAACTTCAGACAGTTGCGCTGCGCCAGTTGGTTGAAAGCGCCCAGGCCCAGGCCATATTTTGCAAAATGTATCTGAATGGTGACCTGGGCCAGATGCGTGGGAAAGGTCGTGAGCAGGCCAAGGGCAGTTGGGCACATGCAACCATCAGGCCCTGGGCCTGCGTGTAATGTCTGGGCCTGTGCCTACCGGGGCCTACTGGAAGCTTCCTGGACTGGACGCAGGCAGGCCACTTCGATATAGGGAAGGGTCTGACTCCTCATTCGGCATTCGGGTGCTGGCTGCATGCTGCGCAAGCGCTGCTGCGCTATTTGCTGGCTGGCTGGCACTCACGCTCTCACGGGCGAGCAGAAAGGAGCGGGCAGCCATAGCCGAGCTGCTCCGCTGTGAGCTGGGTGTGGCGCAGGGTGGTCCTCGGGTGCTAGTGGCATCTGTGTGGTGTGGATCGGGGTTGTGAGTGTTGCGAGAGACATACCTGGTGTTGGAAGCCTGCGGCATTGTCCGCTGTATGCTCGTACTTCAGGAAGCTGTTGTTGTCAACATCGGCATTGTAGTATTAGGCTAGATAGGATCTGCCACATGTAGTCTGGGAGCCGAGCGCCAATAGGACATCAACTCTTGTTCTTCGTTGATGATGATGAGAGACTATTTCAGCATTGTCAATTACGAACTATTGGTGTGTTCTTATTTGGTGAAGTTCGTGATGCAATTCTGTTGTTGGTTCGAGGTCAAGACTATCTGGGCTCATATGTATGATGCTGTTTGATTGATGGAGTTTGCTAATGCTCATCTTCCTTGCAAATCCAAGCACAGAAAAAAAATTTCGATTTTCGGTAGTGAGGTCAAAATCGTGATTTTGGGGTCTAACTATTGTGTTCTAATCAATCAATAAAGACTAACCAGCTAATTAGTCCCCGCACACGTGTCAGATCAGGTTGTCCTGATTCACGTGCAAAGCTCCGACACCAACTGTTACATGCTTAGATACATGATGTACGTAATAACCAAGGATCCGCAATGTGATGAAAAGGACAGAATGGACAATGCGGTGCGAGTAGAATCTCGACAAACAATGTGCATTCTCATACATACAAAAGGTGCTGAATAGCGCAGGGAAGACTTAGATACAAAGACTGACCTGACCGGGACTGACCTCACTCACTTAGTACGAAGTAGCGAAGCAGAATGCTAGAATACTGATAACTAGTCCAATCAATGTTTGAACTCGGACCAAACATACATCGTAGCCATCACCAAGTGTGAAGGAGCCTGGCGCTGTACACAGGAAGAAAGCGCCAGGTCCAGACATACACAAACGAAGAGGAAGGGATCAGACGAAAGGAGGGAGAGAGATGGGAATGTCGTCAACACCAAGTCTTTGTCACCAATCCCAAATAATCCCTCGTTGCCGTGTCTGAAGTCCCAAAAGTCGAGTCTGGATCTGATGTCACCAAGCTCTGTCTCTCTTCTCTCGTAGTCTGCAGATGCAATGAAGTCAGATGTTGAGAGGGGGAGAAAGAGATGGTGGACTGAGAAGAGGAAGAAGAAGACCTCTCTCTCTCTCACTTTTACGAGCCAGATACTGACCTGTGATGTTGGCGCTATGCTGCAGGTACCTCGAAGACGAAGCTGGAGCAACGGCGCTGCAGGTAAGTACCTCTGGCCTCCGCCCAAGCTCTCTCTCTCTCTCTAGTACTATCTAGCTATGGCGCCCAGCGCTGGAGACTACAACTACCTAYTGCGCCCAGCGCTGAAGACTACCAGCTAACGCTACTACTACTACTCTACAGCGCTCCCTCCAGAGTGCTGCTCCCGAATCCTAAAGACTACAACTGCCGACTGCCCCCTGGGAAGTGCCTGGGAAGTCCTATGTACTACCTCAGCCTGCCTCCTGACTGCTGAAGGGCGAGCCAGGCGGAGGAGGCAGCTCTTGCCAATGCCGAAGTGTGCCAGGGGCTGGCGTGCAGCAGCCTGCTGAGGCTGGCGTGGGGAATAGGCTAATAATAGCCTGTTCCGAAACCCTGGTTCGGTGCCTGAGTTTCAGGGCCGGTCGTTCTGATGAACGACCGAAAATGGCCTTTTGTTTCAGGCTAAAAAGGCTGATGTCGTTTTTAGTCTGAAACGACATAGGGGTTGTGGCCCTGGAATTCAGGCTTTCAGCCTGATCCAACACGGGGCCTGTAAGCCCTGGATTTCAGGCTTTCAGCCTGAAATTCAGGCTTTTGGCCTGAAGGACGTCGGGCCTGCAAAATGGCCCGCGTGTGCACGCGCAGCATGTAACACTATATAGGGAGCTGTCTCTAGAAGTTCTGTTCTTGTAAACCAGCGGTCGTCTTCCGGTTCCTGATAAGCAAACCGGATCTTGTACTGTTTCTGCGGACGACCTCTACCTCCTGTTCTGAATACATCCTCATCTACAATGCCGTCAATGTCATAACTTCCATCCATATCCGGGGGGATCATGGATCTTCTTGAAGGGAACTGTTGACTTGTGACACACGGCAACAACTTTGAAGCATGGAACACAGGGTATGTGTGGAGGTGTGTTGGGATCTCTATAGTGCAGGACGGTCCATCCTCTCCGCCCTTGACTTCTAGAACCGGCCACGGTCCTCTATATGCAGGCAGTAACTTCTGCGAGATGTTTTCTTCAGGTGCAAACTCTTTTGCCTTGACCATCACGTCGTCCTGTCTGCGACGTTAAAGAATTCTTGCAGAGTTATGGGGGATCTCCTTTTTTTCCTGATCAGCAACAGGTCTAGTAGTGATAGCCATAGCATAGGTCTAGGCTAGTGATCCTAGTTGGCAGGATCCCTGTCAGGATTCTGTGAGTCTTAGATTGAGTCAATAGGTTTGTCAGTCAGGGGTCAGAGTCTACGTGGTGAGGTTTGGAACCACTAATCCGGTTGTACACTTATCACCATGGTTGAGACCCGTAGTGGGTTAGACACTAGCCCCTACAACAAGGAGCAGCAAGAAAAGATGGCCGCCGTAGTGAGAGAAAACAGAGAGAGGAAAGAGCGCGAGAAGCAGGCGAAGCTAAAGGTTATCGCAGACGAGCAGGCGGCGAAAATGAAGGAATTGGAGGAGGAGATGGAGAAAAAGAAGAAGGCTGCTAAGGAAGAAGCGGCAGCAGAAGAAGAGAAAGAAAGAATGCGTATTGAGAGTAGACAGGGAAGTAGTGGCACGAACAGGGACACAAACGCAGAGATGGAGGAAAAAATATGGAGAAAAAAAAAGTGAGTGGGTTGCTAATTTATCGTTGGGAGAAGACGAGGAGGCGGAATCTTACGTAACAGAGGATGAGAGGGCTGCGCTAGCCAGTGAGCTAGCAGCAATGACAGATCCAATGGAACGGCGAGAAAGGGAGGAGGAGCAGAAATTGACGTGGAAGTTGAGGATGAAGAGGGAGAAGAAGAGGAGGAGAGAGGAAGTGAACAACATGACCACAGAGGTGGCAAAGGTGCAGGAGTGTAGAAAGGAAGTGTTGGCCCAACCAGATGACAAGGCCAAGTGGGACAAGGTGTTGGGTTACCTGGAAGTGTTGAGCAAGGTCTGGATGGAGGAGCGCCAGACCAGTTGGAGCCAAGACATAGCATTGAGTGCCATGCAGTCGGGGTTCAGAGACTTTGCGCGCGAAATCGTCACCCATATTGGGGGCGAAGTGAGGCAACTGAGGGACAACGTAGGAAAGTTTTGTGAGGGCGCTATCGAGGGCGCCAAAGCCATAGCCGCTGTATAGGGCGAGGTCAAACCCCGTAAGGAGCCTGTAAAGCTAAAGTTCCCAGACGCGTACGGGGGGAAGAAGGAGGAGAACTTTGACAACTGGGAGGCCAGTGTCAACAGTTACATTTATTTGCAGCATATCCTAACTGAGGAACAAGTCCTCGTGGCCTTTCAGGCCCTCAAAGATGAAGCGGCCAGTTTTGCTAGGTCCCTTGTGCGTGCAGCCGGTTGTGAGAACAACTTGGTTGCTTACTCTAAAGTCACCCCCCTTCCTCAATTCCTTAAGCTCCTGAAGGAGCGGTTCGCTGACCCAACGAGAGGCGTTCGCGCCTCTGACAAGCTACAAACGATCCACTCACGGTAGTGGAGGAGTGCAAGAGCACTCAAGGGTACTATGGACGACTTGGTAGCCGTCCCGGACCATGGGGTCACTGAGACCCAATTGGTCCAGTTGTTTTATCGTGCCATGCCAGAGGCCCTACGTGGCCATTTCTTTGACAAGTCTCAACAGGCCGGCATCACTTATGATGCATTGAGTAGAGAAGTCGTCCTGTATGAGTCAAAGTTCATGCCAGTTACCACTTTCTGGCATAAGGACTTGGACAAGGGGAAGAAGTGGAAAGGGCGTACCATCTCAGGCCAAGTGAGGGCCAAGGATCATATGATCCTTACCTTAGAGGAAGGTGGTACTGACCAGGTCCCATACAGTCAGATTGAGTGGGGCCTAGAGGAGGAGGACAGTAGTGTAGGGCAAGGGAGGTCTTATGCTGCTGTCCCGGCTGGAGGGAGGCCGCAAGTAGAGGGGGAGGCCAGGGCCAAAGGGGCCAGGCCATGGGAGGCCGAGGACCGGGCGCACAGGGGGTTGGCGGACAGGGAAACCGCCAAGTGGGAGGTAGGGGTCAAGGTCCCCCGCCAAATCGCCAAGGTTCTAATCTGTCCCCACAACGAAGAGGTGGTAGAGCACCTCAAGGAGGATGGCACCCAGGCTTGCCACAGGGCAGGCCGTGGGAAGACTTGGGCTTGGACCAGGCGTTATGGCAGGAACGCGTGAACCTGGGTCAGTGCGTGTTTTGTGGTGACCCGGCTCACGTTATTAAATTTTGTCCAAAGTATAGACAGGCCCGTTGGGCTGCCCAGCAGTCAAAAGGCAGCCGCCAGTAGGGGTCGCAAATGCCCCTACTTCAAGG